GCCACTGCCGCCACTGGCCGACCGCGCCGCGCGATCGATACACGCGCGCGCGCACCAATCAACTGCTCCCGGCTCCGTCTCATTGCGTGGCGGTCTCCGCCGGCCACGATCGGTAACCACGTTCGCATATTTTAAGTCTATGCACGTCGCTAATTATCAACGGCGATGCAAATATCCTTTTCCCGGTAGCAAAGGCAGAGAGAAGAAACCTGAAAGCAGAGGTACTCTGCAGTACTGTAATTGCGTCTTTATACGCCTACCGACAGTTGTCTTGTTGTCGGTGTCGTTGCGCAGATATTTTATGATGAAAAAGCATCGACAACACCGATAACTGTCGGTAGGCGTGTAAAACAATTATGCCTGTGTATTCTATTATAGAATCGCAAGTTGTAAGTCGTAAGAAATTAATCAGTTAAGTGTGAGAAGAATAATTGATTATGATTGGTTAATTTCTTACTCTCTATTGTAGAAACAAGCCTTACAAAATAACGCTCCAAAGAGAAATCTGAAAGAGGTCGCCCTGATGTTTTTCGTGGATCTGTCAAAATCGTTTGTACACTAGCGCCAGTACATCAATTTTCGATTTGAGAACTACATAGCTACGTACTGACGATAAAATAATTTTGATAACAACTTAATAGAAAAATAATGCAGACTTGTTATTTAACACGCTTTTTTTGAGTTTTATAAGTAAGAAAGATTCTAAAATATTAGTGATAAGAAAAAAATTAAGAACATTTTGTGACTATTTATACAAAAATAATAATTATAAAATTAAATGTGGGAACATTCGTGATGTCATTCTTTTGATGAAATACTAGTTTGGAAAGTTAATGAAATGTGTTATATTTCTCTTAAATAATTACAATTAGGATAATTACAATTATATAGTTATAATATACTGGCGATAAAGATCGCATTCGGATATGGGTCGAGTTCTTTTGCACACGCGCAGTAAATTCATTTAATAGCGAAGTATTAACTTTTGATAAATATAGGTGTTAGCTGCTTTTAGCAGAGAAAGCAACTTTACAATTGTTGTAAAATTTTTCAAAATGATTAGTTTTTACAGATCTAAATGCATAAACCAATCATATTGAAAAATTTAAATAAATAAATAAATCTTTTACCAATTAAACGACACGAAAGTATTACTTTTCGTAATACTTTTTCGGTCGAATCAATTCAAAAGTATAGTAATTTTGTTGAAGTTGACCGCGCGCGGAAAACGACGTCGCGCATCGCTTTGCATGTAATGAGATTCACGGTAGACATGGGAAGAACGAGGCGCAATGCCACTTATCTCGTCCGACCCGTGTCCGCCGTGATATTAAGTGTACAACTTTGCTTCCGCCATTTTTTTATAAATGGCTTTAGCGGTAAGTGGTGGTCGAAATAAATAGATCATAGACGTCATACAATAAACTTGGGCATCTGTCAACATAACCCCATAGAAACATTAGTCGATTTGTGTCTGCATCATAAAGTTATTCTCGATTGAAAATGTCAGTTTACGAGCCAAATTCATTTGCGGGAGGTTTTAATTTTTTGCTTCAATATGAAGAAATCTGCGGCTGAGGCTCATCGAATGCTTTCAAATACTTATGGTAAGGCCGCTATTAGTGAAAGAACGTGTCGTGAGTGGTTTCAACGCTTCAAGAACGATTTTAACGTCCAAGGTCATGCTCTGTATTTGGTGTGACCAGCTCGGCGTAGTGTATTATGAACTGTTAAAACCGACTGAAACAATCACAGGCGATCGGTATCGAACGCAATTGATGCGTTTGAACCGAGCATTGAAAGACAAACGGCCGCAATACAACGAGAGACACGATAAAGTGATTTTGCAGCATGACAATGCTGACCCTATGTTGCGAAAGTGGTCAAGACATACTTGGAAACGTTGAAATGGGAAGTCCTACCCCACCCGCCGTATTCTCCAGACGTTGCTTCCTCTGACTATCACTTGTTTCGATCAATGGCACACGGCCTGGCTGACCAGCACTTCCGGTCTTATGAAGAAGTAAAAAATTGGATCGATTCGTGGATAGCCTCAAAAGATGACCAGTTTTTTCGACGCGGGATTCGTACGCTACCCGAAAGATGGGAGAAAGTAGTGGCCAGCGATGGACAATACTTTGAATCATAAATGTATAACCAGTTTTTTACAATAAAGCCTCGAATTTCGGAAAAAAAACGACGGAAGCAAAGTTGTACACCTAATATCATTAAAATGGCGAAGTGACGTCGTTTTTCGCACGCGGTTAATTTCATGCATCATTAAAATTAACGCGATGTATTATTTTTGATTCAAGACGACATCTGAACGAAAATTGCGAAAAATACTTTCGGCCGAATAATCACCCAATAAACGAGAATGGATTAAAATGAATTGAAATTTTTTTCTATCCGAATGCGTATTTTAAATAGCAAATACTTTTTTTTAGATTTAATTGGATTCAATTAGATTCAATTGAATGCAATTTGATTTAAAAACTTCATTTCCTATTAAAAATTTTGAATTGAATAGTATTCATAATTGTGTGCACAGAGAAAGCTAATATTATTTTTAGATTGAAAGGCATAGAAATATGTTCCATGTAATTCTTATAAATGAATAAAAATGCATTCAGAATTGAAAAACATTCATTTTAACATTCGTGAATCAATATTTTTGAAAATCTGAATCCATTTCAATCCATTCTTGTTTGCTGAGCAGTGTACTAATATTACTAGAATCGACATTACGATATTTAAAATTACGTGTTATAAGAAATATACAAAGTTATAATTATATTTCGTGCCGCATTAAATTGTAACCTAGAAATTTTACACCCGCATTAACATACACGATGTTAATAATATACATATTAATAATAACATTAAACATTTTAATTAACACGTAAGACATTTTAAAACTGTTTGAGAACCTACCTAAAAATGATCGATTTAAATATTTCTTTCGTCGCGTGTGAAAATATTAATAATTTGATAATAATTATTACCTCGTTAGTAAATAATTCCAATGATCTTTTCGAACCATTTCTCATCATTTTATTTTATTTTCTATCTCATTTTATTTTCTATAAGAATTAGGATATGTGCTTCTGGAGAAAAGGTCCATAATTGATTCAAAGTCAGGGCCGTCAGAGGCATCGCATCGGTGAGAACAATTTCAACATCATGTTTTTCGGCCACAAAAGCGTGAAATTGTGTTACGTGCTATCTAACAAACGAGAATGAATTGAAATGAATTGAAATGGATTCAGATTTTCAGAAATATTGATTCACAAATGTTAAAATGAATGCTTTTCAATCCTGAATGCATTTTTATTCATTTATAGGAATTGGAGCATATCTCTATGCCTTTCAATCTAAAAATAATATTAGCATTTTCTGTGCATTGTTCAATTCAAAATTTTGAATAGGGAATGCAGTTTTTCAATCCAATTGTGTCCAATTGAATTTAATTAAATTCAATTGAATCCAATTAAATCCAAAAAAAAGTATTCGCTATTTAAAATACGCATTCGGATAAAAAAAAATTCAATTCATTTTAATCCATTCTCGTTTGCTGGGTATTTATATGAATCAAACTTCGAATCCTATCACTCACATGCCAATGAGTCGCGTATTCGAACATTGAATCGGCGCAAGTGAAAATAAAAATTAGAGCGTAAATCGAATGTAATGGGAGAGTAACAGAAGCATAAACGAAACTTCTAGAAGGCGAAAACTAAAACAAAATGTAAAAAGAGCGTAAATGCTCCTTTTACATTTCATTGTTCCATTTCATTGTTTCATTTCTGTTACTCTCCTATTACATCCGATTTACGTTTCGATTTTGATTTTCATTTAGAATATAACGTAACCAGCGAGAAATTTTAATTTTTTTCGGAATTTGACTGTGTTTCGCGAAGCTGGAGAAGTACATATTCAGAACGCGCTTTTACGATGTTAGCACGTATTTAATATATAATTAACACATATTTATCGTTGAAAGCGCGTTTTGAGTACAGAAATTATGTTCTTATATTCTCAATTAATTAAAAATCATTTAGACTGGCTATAAATGATGGCTATCGAAGAGATTGTATGAAAGAAAAATTGAGCTTGTAAAATAAGTAATCAATTTTTAAAAAATGCAAATCGAAGTTATAAATTAATAACGAAAAATTAAATGCTTCTCGGTTTATTGAAATTTATGAATGATAGTCATTATTTATAAAAGATAACGAATTGAATAATTTATAGCTTTCTATCTCAATTAAAATTTTAGAAAGAGGAAAAGAAATAAAGTATTCACAATTTATAATTTATATTACAATATTTGAATACTTCAACATTGTGCAAATATAAAAATATATTTATTACTTAAAGTTCTACAGCCAAACATTTTAAAGCAAAGTATTAACATAACAGTCGCGCGTACAACTTTACCGAGTTCTATTCTATAGATTATTCTTAGATTAGATACTAAATGTACTATATTAATAATCATTACGTTCATTTGTGTATAAATGAAATGAAAAACGACATTAGATTTTTTGTATAGGTGTACGCGGACTCAATAAAATTATATCGGCATTAATCTCAACATCATTGTTTTAATCAAACACTTTGCTTATTTTTTAATGTATTGATTTTAATTATTTTCATAGAAATTTTTATAAAATTTGTTAATAATTGGACGATTAAGATAATAGCTGAATATATTAATGACTTTTTTATCGCGATAAAAAAATTAGACGAAACTTATTATTATTAAATTTTATAATCGGAAGTTAACAATTAAAAATACGATCTAATTATTATTAATATTTCAATATGTTTATTAATATCTCAATAACCATGCAAAACTATTGATTTAATGAAATTTGTGTTATCATATTATCAATGTTTTCATGTAATCCTGCATTATTAAAATTTATTCATTATGCTCCTAATCTCATTATTATTTTGAACAGTATTTATAATTGTATATGATATTATAAATAATTATTATAATAATATATTATTACTATTATAGTGTAGTATACATATAATTATTGTATTATATTAGTAATTATATATTCTATTTTATATTCAATTTTATATTATTTTTATATATTATACTTACTGTTTTAAATTAAAGCAAATTTTTATCGTATGTCATATTTTATATATAAATAAAATTGTAATTGAATTCTGTAATTTTGTATTGTAACATATTGTAAAATAAATGGTGAAAAACTAATGATAAAATTCTTTAAATACCGTAAATGTAATTTAAATACCATGGGATAACTTTGGTCCAGACGGAACTTTTTTGAAGTACGAAAATTTTTTGAAGTACGTAAATAGCTTGCACATTTACAATCAGGACATAAAACATTTTAAAATATTTTTAAGACGTTTCTAAAATGTCTTATTCTGAATCTGATAAACGTGCTGTTTGGATATTATCAAAATTTAAGCCAAAATTACCCCATTTTTCAGTAAATACGTAAATAAAAGATAACCATCGATTATATAATCGGGAGAATGGTAGAGGACCTTTACAGACCAGTTTTTGCTTCTTTGAAATTCTACTTCAAGTTGAGTGCATATATAGTTTCTGTAGAAAAAACAAGACAATCCGTATTAAAAAAAAACTTATTTTTATATATAAATAATGCATGTCAACGCAGTTGGCACTTACGTTTTTTATATTAATCTAGAAAATAATAGTTGCTGTAGTACTCAGATAAATACCAATGCAAGTTTAATTCTTATTTTCAAATAGAATTTCATCTTGTTAATTACATATTATACAATTAAAGTCTCCTAAGATCTTTCTTTTGTCTACAAAAAAACTATAACAAAACAATTATATACAATTTTGGCCAAAAATAAACTCGTTATTAATCACTATTTAACATTTGTTTAAAAATTTATTTACACCATTTAGAGTGAATTATTCTTTGTTTCAATTTGTTGTTAAATCCTTTAAACTTATGTATAATGTCGGTAATTAATAGGAAACAATACAGATAAAAGAATTTTAGAAAAAAATAGGTCTTTATTTTGCCTTTATTTTTTTTATCAAGGCTATATTTGAAATATATGTATTTTGTGTTACTTACAATTTACGTAGAATTAAAAAGGACTTAAAAAACTTTTTGTTTTGTTTTTATTTTCATATAGTCTTTCGTACAATTAAAATCGTACAAAATTATTATTAGCGATAATATCAAAATAAATATTGTGAAAAAAATAGTCTGTGTTTGCTTAAAAAAGAACGTAATTTATTTTAATATATTTTTTTATCTTCAAACAATAATAAATATATGATATAATAATAGTAATAATAATTATATTATATTAATGCAATTCAAAACAAACTCTTACTGTAGACCGCCTTCTTCCACCAGTTTTGTAAAAAATTCTTCGACTCTGTCACTTGGTTCCACTTGACGTACTATGTCTATTAGGCGAAGTAATTTCTTAATACCAATGAATATTCTGAAACATAAAATGTATATAAAGAATAATAAAATGTATATAAAGAAAAAGTATTTATATTGTGAGAAATTCATAATGATAAAATATCTATCTATACATAAAATATTCGCTGTATCTATGATATTATTGGATATCACCAAGAGTAAGTTAATGTTTTTTTTTTAACTGAGTAAAATTAAAGTTAATGGCTTTATAAAATTAATAAAGTTAAGTTAAAAATTGAAGGAATTAAATTAATTAAAGGAAAAAATTAACTTAACGTAAGTTAAGTCAATATTGAATTAAGTTAAAAAAAAAGGTAATTTAAAAAAAACTTATTTTTTAGATTAAAATGTCCTAATTTTTCTTAAAATGAAATTAAATAACTACAATATAGATTATTAAGTAAATTAAATTTTTAATTTTTTTGTTCATATGTGATATAAGTACATAACACATAACGATATAACTTATAATATATAAGTTATATATATAAGTTATACATAAGTTATATAATTTAAAAGAAACAGTCAGCACATAGAGAAGATAAAAGATCAGTGATTATTTTTTAATAAGTCGTAAGCCATAAGAAATTGACCAATTACAATCGAATGCGAGAAAAATATTTGACTGTAATTGGCAATTTCTTATGACTTAAGCCTTAAACACTTAATATAGATCCGGACTAAGGCTTATGGCATAAGGCATAACTGCATAAACCAATCAGAGGACTGTTTTAGCATCTTTAGAAATTACTTAAGATGGTCTTAAAATATGAACAGATTACGAATACACTCTTAGTCTTATTATATCTTATTATTTTTCTAAGATATTTAAAAGAGATTTCTAAGATATTTAAAAAAAATTTTTAACTTAAAAAAAGTTAAAAAGTTAACGTCTAAAAGTAACTTAATTAAAATTTAATGCATTTAAAATTAACTAAATTAAGTTAAAAGTTATGAACTTTTTAATTTTTTTTTAACTTTTAACATTTTAACTAGTTACTATCCCTGGATATCATATATATTATCTTAATAAAATTAAAGTTTTCAGTAATACCGTTGTTTTCCTTGAAGCTTTGCTCGAAAGGAAACCATTTTATGTTTTGAAAAGAGATTAACTTCATCCAACACGTTTAACATATGATCAATGGTTGATAAATTAGGCACATAAAGAACGGTATTAAATGTTAAAATTAATTCCACATTGTTTAAAAATTGTCTGCAAAAAGAAATACATTATTAAGAATATGTAAGAATACGTTTGTTAATTGTTTATTAATTTTTTTTTCTCTCTGACCAAAAAAGTTCTTATCTTACTGGCAACTAGAAGTGCACAAAATCAATAGTTGATGACCAGGCGGTGGCGATTTCTCTAATAACACCAAAAGTGTTTGTAATATCAGAATAGAATACTTTGATTTAATTGGACAGTAACTCAGTAGACGTTCAATATTATCAATTAAAATGCAGCTGAACATCGAACAATATGCTTCGTCGAACACCTAAAATATACAAATGATAAGCGATTATTCTAATCTTTACAACAAATATGATTACAAGAATTTATTTATAAACTTGTGTAATACAAAATGAGTTATATTAGGTGTAGTAAAAAGAAATCCATTATTTTTGCATGAAATTGAATGGAAAAATAATGGATTTCTTTTTACTACACCTAATATCATACCTTCCGTATAAAACGACATATTGCAGATTCATTGTCAAATTCATCAAGACTGATTATGTCTTCAGGTGTAATAACTTTAACAAATGGGAAATTTGAATTCTTTGCAATTTGTGCGGCAAGCGTTGTTTTTCCACTCTTTGGTAATCCTAACAAAAGAACAGAAAAGATCCCAGTTGCCTGAGCAACTTTAATGCATAAATTGCCATGTTCAAGAATTTCAGTTATCGGCGTACCCCAAATAATAATCTTATGGTCTAACCATTCATTTAATGCTTCAGTCATTGTATTTGTCTAAAAGATATGAATATAACATTTAGCTATAGATTTTATATAAATGCAAGATTATATTTTACGATTTAAAAATTATGTATTTTCATGTAAAATTAGTTGCTAGAAACAATATTGATAAAGCTAAACCAAAGTAGAACAAAATAATGAAAAAATACATTTTCAATTGAAAATTGTTTAAATTTCTATTTTTTTTAATTTCATTTTCTTTGTAAATATTCATGAAAAAATGTGATAATCATTTAAAAAAAAATAAAAATTTTAGAAATTTAAGAAATTTGAACAATTTTTGACAAAAGCTTTAAATGAATATACAGACGAGAATAATTTAGATGATATTTTAATTATAACTGATAAAGTAGTTTAATTGTAAGAGTAATCAATAAAAATTATTTATATTGATAAAAATTATTTGTTTATTCATTTAATAAACAAATAAAAATAAACAATAAAAATTTTCGATCCTTGATAACTTACTTTAATATATGCATAGAAAAAAATCGCTTCTAGTTACCATAAGCTTCTCACCTACAAGACCGGATAAAATGTCTTTCAAATTTCATTTAAAATGCTAAATATAAAATACTTTAAGAAAATATATTTAAATGCAAAATAGGTTTTTCCAATTCATTTTTAAAGTAAAATGGATAAATAGATATTTTAAATAATTTTCAAATGCAAAATGATTTTTCCTGATTTTTCATGAATTTTCCTATATATATTTTTTAAGTATCTTACGTTTAAAATCCATTTTTAATAGAAAGCATTTAAATGGAATGTAAAAAAATGCATTTTATGTCAAAAATCATTCAAAATTTCTCGAATTCTCGGAATTTTTATTTAAAAAAAGGTTAATTATCACATCTTTTTCATTAATATTTGCAAAGTAAATCGTAGAAATACAAAAGGACAGAAATTTGAGTTCGATTAAAAATGTATTTTTTCACTATTTTGTTCTACTTCGATCGCTTTAACTTGATCATTTTTGTTTGTGACTAATTTTACACGAAGATACGTAATTTTTAGATCGTAAATTTCTTCTTGCGATCTTGCGATCATGACCAAACGACGACTTTTTTTTTAAATGTGTATAAAAAATAATTTGAGACATATTCGAAAACACAATCAGAGTAGCTTCATGTTTAAGGATATTAGCAATCTCTGTAAAGAAAATTAAATTTAGAAGTAGATGTTTAATATTTACACTTCAAATAAATTATATACGTATGAAAGTTGTATGAATAAGATTACATTTTTATTTAATAACACATTTTTGTAGTTTATTTATTTTATTATTTTTATTGTTAAAAATTAAAATTTTAAAAATGATTAAAAAATTATATTTTTTGTATAAGTACTTTAAATTTATATTCAAAAATAATCTATGCAAAGTATCATTGTGATTAGTTACAAAGATATAGAACAAATATTTTGTTTATTTACTGGACAATTAAGTTCATGCATTATTCTAGGTAAATAATCTTGAATACATAATATACTTATATTAAAAAATTGAAATTTTTATCTTCTTCTCTTTTCTTAGGCTTCTGGCCTGTGTTACAACTTCTTTCATATGAATCCTGTGAAGCGCACGCTAATTATTCAATTGCCATAAGCATATAGAACCTATAGTTTTAATAACGCATCAGTTCCGAACGGCGGATTTTTCGAGAATTGTTTCTATAGGCAAGAATACTCTCGCGGGAAGTTGCCAGCCTTTTCCGAGAGGAGACACGAGCGTAAATATTTTGATTCCTATCGGGAACCAGGATGAACATGGGACCTCTAACATGATAGACCAATGTCCTGTCTGCTATACCACACTCGCGCTCGAAATTTTCATTTATTTTATATATTTATTTTGTACATTTCCATATGTTTTTATTAGAGCACGGATTAAAAAAATACTATTATTTATTAAAATAACTTACGATACAGATAGTAAACCGTCACTAAATTTGTCGTATTATTTTTAAACGTGATTTAGAATCTGTAATTTTTTCATAAGTTATTATTTTGTTATTATTTTGAAAATATGTATAAAACATCCTTAACATTGAATAACAAATATAAAATAATATACAAGAATACTCGGATGATGTTTTCAAATGTAACCTTGACCGCGCGAACCGCACTCACATGTTTTCATTTTTTTACGTTTGGACATATCGATATTTTCGTGCGATGTTTCGTTAAATAATATCGCACGATTTTGTATAATATGTTCAACAATCAAAACTAACCTTTGCGCAAATTAATGGAATTTCTTCCTCTTTAGAACTTGCCATCTCTTCAAAAGACTGTTCACTTTCATTTTCCATATCTGACTTACATTCCTTTTCCATATTTAAATTATGTTTTTGTTTTTTAAAATTTAAGAGATTTAATCACTTGCCGATTTATTTGAGATTTGTATTTTTTTTGTCTAAAAAGCTCTTTACACTTGGAGACGATACGGCCAGTAATAGTTCTTTCCCTTCATAGATAAATCAAATAAATATTATCAAATAAATACAGAATTATAGAAGGCAATTGTAGAAGAGGCAATTAGTTTTATCAAAAACTTACAAAAATCTTAACGTTTATACCTGATGAATCTTCTGATTCTAACAATAATCAAAACGATGCTTATATCATAAAAGGAAAACAGGAACTAAATAGACTTCTTTATGGAGAGTATATATAAGGGGCTCCGCACAATAAAAGAAATAGGGAACAGAGAACAGAGAATAAGAATTTCAACCTATCAGAAATCATGTATTGTGGAATACACAGTTTTCTGATAAGTTGAAATTTTTATTCTCTGTTCTTTGTTCCCTGTTCCTTTTATTGTGCGGAACCCCTTAGCGTTTTCGATCCGACCGAGTTTGCATTAATCTTAGTGACGTTTTGTGTTTTTCATTGGTAGAGCGTATAACGTCAACCAATAGCAAAGCATTTTCCAACTCAGGTTGTTATATTTGATTCTACATCTTTTGCTAAATTTTAAAGTTCTACCAAAGAAATTCTGGTTCTACACATATATTGCGCAATTTTCCAAATTCACATGCGCGTTCCCACTTTTGTACATGCTTTTTTCTACATTTATTTAATATGTATTTTCAAAATTTTTATTATCTACATTCATACCTTGTCAGGGTGTGATTTTTGGGTGTTTTATTGTTACTTTGCGTTAAAATGTCTTCGAAACATTCGAGACTGCGACATGACAGAAACGAGATATGAGAATACAAAATATGTAAAAATTAAATTTTTAATGTATACAGACAAAATATTCGATTTTTGGTCCTTATAAATTTTATAGATATATAGAGTACTAAGAATGAAATGATTTCCTATTATAGAACTGAACAATTGAAGAGCTATGATACAACTTGAATTATAATGCCTTTGATAATAATGATGATGAATAGAGAATGTTAATAATTTTGTGACGCATGATTCGGTACGAGAACAGTCAACTCATAGTTTGCAAATCTCGAGTTAAATGCGGATCCTGGTCTTACCTCAAGTTTCAACCATGAGTCTGATGCACATTTTACGAAGGATTGAGATGTAAGGCTAGAAGAATTTTGTAAAAATTAAATTTAATGAAAAGTTTGGAAAAATTAGATATCGGATAGTAACAAAAGATGCTAACCATAAACCGATGTATTATTAAATTTCGCTAAAATGAACTCTTGATGAATCAAGTTTAGAAGCATTTTCAGAAATATAGATAATAATTCTTAATATATATATATATATATAGTTATAAGATATATTTTACTATATAAACTGTTATAATTTGTTTAATATGATTTTGATTGTTATGAAAGAAAGCACAATTATTTTTCTTTAGATAAAGGACATTTATTGCAAGAATCTGATTGAAATTTATTAACGATTACGAAGTAATCCGAGAATATATTTAAAAAAAGAAGTTCACACATAAGCTTAAGGAATATTCGCGAGATAATCCTTCACGTTGGAGGGATCCAATTTTCTGAATCCGTTCGCGTCACAAATACCGACTTCAATATTGTCCGCAGTCATCTGTCCTTCGAAACCTTCCTTTAGCGTCAAGATGGCAGTGTGAACGGCATCATCCAATTCCAGATCCTCGCTATATCTCTTTTCGAGGAACGTTTTGCCATTAACGAAGTTTTTGCCCATCGCGGTTGCCTTCCATGCAAAATATGTGCCAGATGGATCACATTGGAATAGATAAGGCTTGTCATTGTCCCAACCACAGATCAGAAGAGACACTCCAAAAGGTCTAACACCTCTATAAATTAGCAATGACAATAATTTAGTATTATTGTCTAATTAATTCTTATTATAAGCAGAGATATCCTACATCTGTATTCAATCAAATAATTTTTTAACATTTAAAAATATGTAACTTTATATTTAAAATTTAAGAGCAAATACAAATCATAATTGAAGACTAATGGAGAATCACTCATACTATACTAGATTAGTACATATTAAATGCTGCTTTATATAAAGCTTTATATTAAATTTAAATGCAGTGGCATAATATAATCAATTTTAACAATGAAATAATACATATATATTAAATAATGTGGCAATATCATTACCAAATACTTAATCGTTCAAAATATGCAGGATAAGTAACGATAAAACTCTCGCATAGGAGTAGAGTAGACTAAACTGAGTTGAAAAGTCCTCTACCATTTTATAATTTTTGCAATAATTAACAAGATATTAATTACTAAAAATTGCCGAATATTGGGTTTTTTACTCACTATCAATTTTACAGAAAAATAACAAGTGACAAAAATTGTTTATTTTTTTCTCATAAAGTTCTGAAAATTTTTTCAGAATTTTTTTTAGTACTGCATTTTCTCATATTGGTAAAATAATTGCCAATGAGAAAATGCAATACTAAAAAGTTGATAAAAATTTTTTTTTAATTCTTAGAGTTCTATAAGAAAAAAATAAACAATTTTTGTCTCGCTGTTTTTCTGTAAAGTTTATAGTACTTGATTAAAAAATTATTGGAAATCAATACTTGGTGATTTAGTAATTAACATCTTGTTAATTATCGCGAAAATTGCAAAATGGTAGAGATAATATAAAAGGAATGGCCAGGAGGAATAGCTAGCTCAGGCTGCTCCTCGCCTTAATGAGATGGACTGTAAAGTTCACGAAATATTCCAAGAATGGAGAAAATCCGAGAAATAATTTTTGTTAATATAAAGGACTTTTCGACTCAGTTTAGTCAGCTCCCTATGTGAGTTTTATCGTTACTTATCAAATACTCTGTATACTTTCACATTTATCTTTGCCAATGTTAATGAACAGCAGCTTTTATTATGCACTAATCTAGTATAGTACAAATAATCGTATTTGCTATAACTCACCCAGATTGCGTGTATTCTTGCATGACCATTGCAACGCGTTGTACGAGTTGTGCAGTCGGGATAGGTTCTCGATATACTAAGAGATATTGTTGTGCCATTTTCCGTGCTTGCTTTACTAATAATCTGTAATCTGGACCCATGCCACTGTAAACCATGCCGATGTGCTTTGTAATCATTTCGACTTTGCTGACGCTATGTTCATCATAGAGAATAGATTTATGTTTGTTTTCCGTAGCCAGAACAACACCATTTAATGCTTTAATGCCCACACTCGGTGCACCGGCGGCTACTGCAGCTAAGGCATATTCTATTTGCACTAACTTGCCTGATGGACTGTAAAACACAATGTCATTAATCGATATATGAATTATATAATATACAAATTATTATGAATATTATGTTATTTGTTGTTGTGTTATTTATATAATTATTTATATAATTTTTAGATGAACAATTATACGACTTTGTATTTTTTAGATTTTGACACATGTACTCCAAGAATTTGACGAGTCATCTTGTCATATGTTATGTTTAGCTTTTTCAAATAAAATATATTCAAATAAAATGATTATTTACATATTTGTCAATAAGAGACTAATATTAATAAGATGCTATTAATTAAGATAAAAATTTTATTTAATAAATAGAAAATATGCCAAGTGTAAGTCTGGTTTAGAAAGAGGTTAGGTTACTGTTTAATTTATTTTCAGTGGCATCCTTCTTTTACCACAGATACGGAATATTGGCGTGAAACGTGCTGTTTCGTACGTGATTATTATGTTACTATAAATATATTTACCTGAAAGTTGTTAACGAAAAACTGTATCGTTCAGAAGCCATGACAATCACTTTGCAGCAATACACAGCAATATCAAGCTACTGCACCTACACTGTATCACGGTGTACTACACAAGTGTAGTTTGACAGAAATGATTCGACAATGGTATGAAAATTGCACTCGAAATGTTCCTAGGAACATCTTTAGATAAAATAATATACACATGACTTTGAAAATGTTCGCGCGTATCACGTTTTATATTTAAAAATTTATTAAAAAATAACAAAATTTAATTTATATATAATTTGCGAATAAATTTTTTATAATTGCAATAGTATAAAATTTAATAATTATCCAGCAAACGAGAATGGATTAAAATGGATTGAAATTTTTTTCTATCCGAATATCTATGCGTATTTTAAATAGCAAATACTTTTTTTTAGATTTAACTAAATTCAATTACATTCAATTGGATGCAAATAGATTGAAAAACTGCAATTTCCTATTCAAAATTTTGAATTGAACAGTATTCACAATGTGTTTGTTTTGCACAGAAAAAGTTAATATTATTTTTAGATTGAAAGGCATAAAGATATGCTCCACGCAATTCCTATAAATGAATAAAAATTAAGAATTGAAAAGCATTCATTTTAACATTCGTGAATCAATATTTCTGAAAATCTGAATCCATTTCAATTCATTTCAATCCATTCTCGTTTATTGAATATGTATCTATAGATTTACTCGTAATAAAAAAATATAATTTTTAAAAATTTCAGAGAAAATTAAAAAAATATAAAAATAAACATATTTTATTATTTATAAATATACATATTTACTAAAATACTCTAATAAAAGCATGCACATTAATTAATGTAAATTTATTGCAAGTGTATTTTAATGTTAAT